ATTATTACTACAAGAAGGTTGTTGAGGACAAGGACGTGATGAAGGGTTTGTGATGGGAGCACGTGCACCTGTTGATGATGACTGCACGCTGCCAAGACGATCAAGCTCATCAACTACAGATCGGATGATTGCTGTTGCATTACTCAAACAGCTACTACTCTCTCTATCTCCATCCAAATTACTCATATCAAATATATTAACAGTAGAGTACAATTAAAAACTCAGTACTGAAAAAGAAAATTATGCCATACTGTATACGTAAAACGTCGGTCAGTCGCGCGGGCTTGGGAACTAGTTTTGTACATGGGAAACCACTGACCGGCTCATATTTTTTAAGTCCGTTGACAAAAAGCTCGTTGAATAGACAACATAACCCGATGACTAGACAACATAGCCCGATGCATAGACAACATAACCCGATGACTAGACAACATAGCCCGATGCATAGACAACATAGCCCGATGCATAGACAACATAACCCGTTGAAGAGACAACATAGCCCGATGCATAGACAACATAACCCGATGAAGAGACAACATAGCCCGATGAAGTGACAACATAGCCCGATGAAGTGAACAACCGATAATCATTATATTTTTGAACCTGTCCACCCTTCATACCAGGTTTCCTCTGCCGTGGATTTACAGCCACTCTTGATATATTTTTCTTTCTTTCTGTCTTTCTGTCTTTTTATTTTATTTTATTTTTTTTATTTTTTATTTTTCGATTGAAATATAAATACAATTTTCTGCAGTTAAGAGGAGACATCTTTTGTCATTTTACCGATCACTCTTTTGTAATGCCTTTTGTGAATTCTTCAAAGAAATTCCAAGGGCCGGAAAAATCTTTAGAATGAAAGCCAACGTGAACTTTTCTCAATTCACAGACTGTCACGAAACAAATCCTTGTTCGTAAAACACAATAGAAACTTTACCAAAATGGCCGCCGCTCACATCTCATGACTTAGTCATAATAAAAATACCTAACGCAACTGACCCTAGTGTCCAAAAGTCGGTCCCAGATCTCCATCTTCGACCTGGTAAGATTTTTTAACCAAAAATTCTGGAATTAAAAAAAATATGTATATTTCTCTGTGGATTTTTATTGGAACCCATGGGATTTTGCTGAACTTCTAAGTTTTTCTCTTTTAAAAGTATTTCCTGGTATATTTTTTGGGTGAGAATTGAAATTATACTAGCCAGCGTAGGCCAATTTGGCCAAAGTCAACACCTTTAATACTATTTCCGAAAGAATAGCATTTCAAATGAGTCATATTAAAAATGATTATAATTTCATCACCAATCCCTAATTATAGTATTCTATACATCCTACATGATTTGCCCCATCAACTGTCCTTCCAATATGACGTAATGTCATTAGTGCCGGCAGATCAAGGATATGAAGAGCCAGTCTTAAAGGAAGACTATGACGGGAATGACAATAAATATGAGAAGTTTTACTTCAAAATTATAACATTGCGAGAAGAGTTCCTCTTTTGCTGAGGAAGATGAATTTGAGGAAGTTGTGGGATGAAAATTCCCTCCCATTACATGTAATAGTATTGAAAATTAGTATTAATAGTATTGAAAATTAGTTAGTAACTTGTCGGACAAAGAACAAAGAAAATGAGAAGGAAATAACTAGTGGAAAGGAAACGTCAGTGACTACTTGGCGTGGGTGAGCTGATTGGCTCGATCATTTCAAAATGCGAAAATCAGCGGGATTACTCAAATGAATGATGCAATACGTGGATAATCAACCCACTGAATTACATTCTACCGTAGTATATATGATTATAAACAGTAACATTTCCTCTTCATCAAGTGTTCATAAAGCTATTTTGCATTTTTTTAGCATGAGATTTCTGAATTGAAAACTCAGCCTATCGTTTCAAATTAATATGAACACAACTTATACTTATTCTCGTTTTATTAATTTGCACAATAATTAAAAAGGAGTACGATTATTATTATCATAATTTCTTTGTTTGGCAGTGCATGAGGAAAAGTATATAAACTTAACCAAATCGGCTGAAACTTCGCCAGGGGATTGGTGCTTACATCCAAAACAGGATGTAAGAGTCTTGTGTGATGTCGTCGCAATCAAAACTGCGAGAAATTCACGATTCAATAACATCATAGAAAATCGTAAAAATAAGGGTAAAATATAGAGGACAGGGGAGGGGAGGCTACAATAATAACCACTGATATAGAGCCTGTGCTCCCTGTGATACGATCTGGGATGATTGCCCCATCGTGGAGTGTTCCCAATCTCATGTGCGACTAGCTGTGATCCCCTTCCTAATCCATATTACCCCAACACTGACAACTTCCCCGTCCTGTCAGTCCAGTACTATGCCCCTACTGAAATGTTTTGCATTTTGGGAATCATGTAAAAGCCGTTTCAGAATTTTCTGCCACAATCTTGTGGAATCGTATAGAAAAGCTGATAGGACCTGTGCCTCACTGAAGGGGATATATATGAAACCAAAAAATGCTATGATTATAATTATAATAAAACAATACAATAATTATCGCGTGATAAGTCATCGTACTTTCCTCGCCGGAATTCAAAAGGGGTCGGAAAACGACGAAAATTCTCCACTTATTCGAAACTGAACCACGCTATATGAAAAACCTTACTGCTGGGGTGCTTTCCATTATAGGCAGAACTGGTCGGCCAGTCCACTCTATTTAGAGGTATGTAATGCTTTTTGTCGACATTTTTCAGTCATTTCGAGGTTTTCTGTAGAATAATGGATAGAATTTGAAAATTTGAATTTCCCAACTAAATGGGAATGATATATAATGACATTTTCTCTGGGTCTGGCCAATTTCGAGTGTTGAATTAAAAAGTCTCTCACGAGTGACCGTAGAGATTTTCAACAGGAAAAGATAAAATTTGTATGTCCAGAGAGAACATGATGTAAGGGACTTTGTACTCAGCCTCCCGCGGTATGAAATATCGAGCAACAAGAGATCATACACGTCTGGAACAAACGTCAATGAATGCCATAGTATAATGCTTAATAGTGGGTACATGGACAAATAGATTTGTACAGAGTATTATTGATCCGATTACCGTATTTACTCGAGTAGACGCCGCGGCGTTTATTTCTTTTTATGGTCACGATCCAGCTGCGGCGTTTATTCGAGGACGGCGTCTATTCGGGGGCGGTCTTTATTAAAAAGACACTTTATTCAGTACTACATACCGTACTTTATATTGTATATTTTTACTAACAAACAGTAGCGAATCTCAATATATAAATGTCGTGTTCATTTTGTCTATTCAATTTATGATTTTAACTAGAGTTAAAAAAAACTTCCATTTCAATATCCTCAATGTCCTCCTTGTGGTCGGAATCTAACAGCTGCTGAGATCAAACAAGTACAGTTTCGAAATAAAAAATGTTCTAAGAGAAAATAAATTCCCATTGCTGGTATCATTATTGCCTGAAATTGACGCCGCACCCAGATGCGGCGTCTATTCGGGGGCGGCGTCTATCAATATTTTGAGCTTTAAGTGCGGCGTCTATTTGAGGGCGGCGTCTATTCGGGGACGGCGTTTATTCGAGTATATACGGTATAGCGAAAAGATGGATCGAGGAGGAGAGGGGGTGATAATGTTTCTTATAGCCATAATAACCCCCTTTTTCTCATGTTGTGTAAATATCTAAAGTTTTGTTCTTCTGTTTTTCACAAGCATTTAAACCCCCTATTTAAATCTCAAAAATACAGAAATAATAATTACGATATAAATAAGTGAGGGGAGAACCTGAATGGAACTCATTCTGAAAACAAATATGGCAGCATTCATCTGATAGAAATTTTATTTTTAACAGCACTAAGCCTAATCCAGTTATTCTTGAGTTAGACATTCGTAATGTCAAATGGAGATCCGTTACTGATATCAGATAAAAATCCCGTAAGAGTAGGTCTAATTAGTTTGCATGCTATTAAAGGGACACTGTCAATGGATGACTTGCGCAGTAACAGTCTCACCTCTAACGGACTTTGAAAGTATAACCTTCGAGGTATAAATCATTTTGTGGTGCTTTTGACACACTTTGGAATATTCTAGATCTGTTTACGTTTACGATCTGATTTATGTCGCGCCAACTTGGAGTCATAAACTTGAAAACACTAGCATAGTGTTTTCAAGTTTACTGGCGCATGTCATCCATTGACAGTGTCCCTTTAAGAAAAAGTGCTGTTATCATTACCAGAAATGTCAGAAATGCATTCAGTAATTAACTTACCCATGTATCCTTTCGGTGTCAGCTTCTATGCTCTGTGATGTTGAGCCAGGCCGACAATTAACAATTACTTAATTGACTGCATATCTTGGTAGCCTTCTCCATATACAAATCAAATGAGCGAAATCCGCGCATCATGTTCCAAACTTCAAGATTTTCTTATGATCTTTCCGAAGAACACACTCCTTTGCAATATTTTTGCTTCTCTTTAGCGTATTGGAAAGTATACCGATCTTGACTTTAAAACATGTAAAAACTCTTTATGAATAAAAGTGCATTTATACGTCGTTGAGAGTTATTTAATTTGACACGTACATTTTGTGCTTGACGTCATTTTACTAGGACTCCTGCAAAATATCATGCATCTCTCATTTTTTCGGAAAATAATACGGGAATAATATATAATCGAGGTAAATGTGCAACGCAACCGTCTTATTTTCTACAACTGAGGCTGTGGTTACTTGGATATTGATATTTCTTAACGTCATTTGCATTCATATTTGTACATAAAAAACTCCCAGTAATGTGTCTTATCAAGAATAAAAGCAGGGTTTTTGATCCTTGGTAAAAGACTGCTGCGAGTTTTTTTTTTTTTAAGTAAACAAATTTATCTCTTAATTACCACGATTGACGTAAACCGTTTTTGTTTGTTGGTTTTTATCGATTTATCTATTTATTTTTACCACAAAAATATGTATTCTACAATAAGATAGCAATCCCAGAAAAAAAGGAAAATTCTGCGAACATGGTATGTACTTTTATTTACCACGGCTCTCGACCAATCATAAAAATCGAGAAAAATTACATTTGTGGTAAAAAGAACAAACAAATTACCACTAACTATGAATTATTTCTATCGCATTATGCAAACGTTTACATTCCAATTGTTTAATTTAATTTTTGACTTAGATACTCTTTTTGTTTTTTTCAAAATATAATATTTACCTAATTATATAAATAACAGCAGTCCACTGTTACCCAAATATTATAATATCAACCCCAGCATAAACAAACCAACATTGATATGGCCTAGACATACAGTTATATCATAAACAATCCTTGGTTTCCATGACAATTCCATTCAGTGCAATTCAGACATTAAATATTTTCTTCACCGTGTAGCCCTGCAAAGATAATGTAAGATATGTATTTAAGCGGCAAATGTTTCTAGGACACAAAGCAAATACACGCTAAGCTATTTCATTGGCGAAGAAAGCGGCGAATGCATGATGGGAATAGAAAACTCTGACTGTGACGTCACATAATACCAAGAAGGCTTTGCTAGCCGATGTTTAGCACTTTTGTTTTATATATAGAAAAAAAAACTTTCAAAAAAAACGAATATACGTATTTCATAGATATTTATATGGATAATAAAGATTATTCAAACATATCTGCAGATTTATGACAAATTCAGTAAAGGTTTTAAATTCAGTTACAGCTACGCTAAATATAGTGATAATTAATTTAAGTTAGCGCTAATATTTTTATTTTGTCAACCGACTGTGGTTCATGACTTACCGGCATTGCGTAAATAAATAGTACAAGCAGTGCTAGTAGACAAACGGTCACAATAAACCCTATAAAGTACCACTTGTATCGCCGCCATATTATATACTTCAAGCTTTTAAAGGGGGAACTGAACCAAAAGAACGATGTGGCGGGACGACTGAAAATAAGAAAACATAAATAAATACTTTGAAAATAACGGAGAAGTAGTAGGAAGGGAAGTGAATGGTGAAAGAAGAGACGACAATAAGGAAAGAGGGCAACATAAGGAAAAAAAATCAATTGTTGATTTATATAAGATATCGACATTGAGCAGTGTAGCTTTGAGTTCATTATTCAAAAAGTAAGGCTGTCTTCCAGTTAGACTAGTTTCTAGAGTTTTTTGACGTTTCACGACAAACATAGCTGGCGGTGACACTTCGCACCTCGACGACTGACGAGCCTCGATTCCGTGCAACTCGACCAAATTTCCCCGCGCCGTCTGCCATTCGATTCGGTGTATGGTACAATATTCCCGCAATTATTATCAAGTATTTGACAATTTTAAATCGAATCAGTTTCAATGTTTTATGGTTAAAGTTCATATTTTTGAAACTCACTTAGGAGGGTCTAGCGTCGGGTTCAAGTTTGGATCTGATCGACCCTTTCCTGCTGGTTTTTCGCTCACTTCGTTGCTAGGCAACACTTCTAAAGTCATTTCTACCTTACCCTGCAATAAAAAACATATATCACTTCAAACAAACTTGATTTGACTCGTTATGCAGACTAAGTATTTTTTTTGTTATATACCTGAAGCACACCCCATTTTTACGCAACAATGAGTGCAAACAATACTGAGAACTATTGAGATATTTAGCAACTAAATAGTTTATTTTGTTTTCATCAGTCAAACAAAAAGCGACGCATATATCATGATCAGAGAAAGTGCAATCGAAAAAGCAAAAGATGAAAGCTATTCGCATTTTCCCTGCGATCCGTTACTACTTGTTATCTAGAGCATTTCGACTCCCCTCTCGTTAAAAATTCAGTCCATCTTTCGATGGAATATATTATACTTACAGTAATTTCCAACTCTTCTTCTCCTTCCCCCACACACGGCCACCATCCATACACCCTCTTCATATCAAATAGAGACACAGTCTCTCTTGGTTTGCCCTTCTTTGCACTGTCCATATTCATTGCTTCAAGTGTGCATTTTTTAGCGCTCTTTGTCGGTCTTGGCATATGGGTTAAAACTAACTCCAGTTGACCTGTTTTGAGAATGACAAATTCAAAACCAGAACGTAACAACTTCATAATATTCGTGCGGAGTTCCTGTGGCTTACGTCATACATTCCGGCCTTTTTCCTTGGAGTGGTTACTTAGGAAAACAAATATGCTGTCCTAAAACAATTTCTAGAGATTTTTGACATTCTGACGTCTTTTGCATCGAAGCAAAATGACTGCTGAGCTTACAACGATAAATAGTCGTGGATATTATTTTTCTTCGCGTTACCCTGCGCAGCCATCTTGACAAATAGACGTGCCAGCTTCACAACGAATGAAACGATTGGTAAAGTTAAAATTCCAATAATAGAAAATTATTCACAGATATCTATCATTAACTGCAAACTCGCTGGTAATCAAAGGTCGACTGCCTCTTTATTAATAATACTGCATTTCTATTGTTCGGAACTTAGATTTGTTTGCATTTATTTTTTCGACAAGCTTCTATTGTTTCAGATCAATTGTTTTCTCAACCAATCACGAGATTTGCTCTGATCGACTTCTGATCTCGCTTCAATGCAAAATAAAAGCTACTGTCATGAAGTTGGGGATAAACTGTCAACGACAGCTACTGGACCAGTATTTAATAACTGCACCCAATTGTAATAGGTTTTTTTAGAAGTAAGAAATAAGGGGTCAGTAAAATGGTGTGGTATAAAGAAAATAAAACTAAAAAAATAATGAGACCGCTTACCTAAAAAGTCATCAGGACTGAATATATCATTATCCCATATTTGGATAACAAGTCGCGGTGGCATGCGGCTTTCTGTCATGTCGAGACTCCATAAATGACGCTATACGAGCAAATCATATAAACTTATAATTATGTACAAAGTTACAAAACCTAGGCATCGTTTACACTTTGGTGTCCGATTGAACCCGGCACCCGAGTACAAGGCCCAAACCTTGTACTTGACACTGAACCAAGTAAGAAATGCCTGTGTGAACACTTCTTGGACATGACGCCTTTTATTGCCAGTTGCCAGGGTCACTTTCTATCCGAAAGCATGATGGGGCACTGAGACCTCAAAAGAATTTTCGTTTCTAAAATCGTACCTTTTTGCGAACAACCATCACTTTCTCTGCAGGAACGAACAAAAATGGAAATAGGAAACGCCAGTTGAAGTTCCCCGTACCATCCAAAGATCTGAAGAAAACAGAGCATGCGCACGATGTTATATGATAGTACGGTTTGGTTTTGTCCTGATCTTTGGGGGTGTTGCATTAAGATGGGCTGTTGGTGGCTATTTGGCGTTTTGGTTGATTAGTAAGGTTATAGTTAGTGAATTGGTTGGTTAGCTAATTTAAATGTCAAAATTCGTCATTTTTCATGGCAGAGAAAATGGCACCGAGGCGAATCTTGGTTGGTTGCCTAGTCAGAGATTTTTTGATTCTAATCATTTCTTACTTGGACTGTGTGAAATTCTATTAATTATGTGAAATTCTATTAATTATATATCTATATATTATTCCTAGCTGTCCAATAAATATAGTGATTGGACAGGTTTCGGCTCTTCTAATCTGTCGCACAAAATCTTTAAGAGAGAGACTGCTGCATGCTACGCTCATCACAGCCACTAAGATTAACCATGCCTGCACGAGACAAGAGAGCTATTGTACCTGAAATGAACGTCTGTCTTTTGTGAATCATCAATTCCTGCAATCCACCTGGAATTAACAGAACGTATTGGTTGAGTGAGGCTAATACAGCTATTTCAGAAAACGTTGAATACTGAAGGTAGTGTATTCCAAGACCAAAATGCATTGTTAGTCATTCTACCGCCGTTGAAAAGGAGTTTTAATGATGTCAGAGTGACACAATATACACTAACCAATCACGTTTGACTAACCCTTTGACGTAGATGTCACTCATGGCTTCTCCCATGATGTTTGTCTCCTCCAAGATGACGTCACTAGTATTCCAGATAATCACGCGTAACTCGTAGCTGACAATTAAGCATCAAGTCAATCAATCAGAAATATGCACAGGAATCCCACATTACGACTATGGTCAGATTTGTATATCCCGGCGAATTTAACTCCCATACATTTTCTGCACAAGGTTCCAGAGTTAATTGTCTTTCACTCCACGAAACCTATTAATACGTCCAATTTTTGATATTGTTTTGTGATCGGAATAACGAGGTTTCACAGTATGTAAGTTGTCTTTAACTCCACGAAATTGAAAAAGCATTGATCAAGCCTTTTACTACAACTACCAGATTCCCAGAATCTGCCTGACGCATTTTCATTCCCACTTATATATTGTTATTTTTTATATTTTCTTTTGCAGATAATTAAAATAATTGTCAAAATTGCCATAGAGGCAAACAATAAGTGATCATTTCGGCATAGTTCCAGTGGCATCGTGCAAATGTTGTACTGTCACTTACTCTTGAGGTATTCGTGGTGATACGTCAAACGGAGGTCCAGGGGGTCCAAGTTCTTTGGGAAATATATCCACCCATAACTGTACCTTTCCCTGTAAACAATAACAGTGCTCAACTGATGACGGCACTCATAGTTTTCTACGCTAATACTTTTATATTGAGTTGTTGCAAAAAGACAAGCGAATACGAGATGTAATTTTTCCCAATTTGGATTTATGTTTTTGTTGTTGTTGCTGTTGTTGTTGTTGCTGTTGCCGTAGCGCGAGGTATACGTTAATGAGTATTATGGGTCGCATCGTTTATCGCAACTTTGTCTCGCTTGCAAAAACAGAAAGGTTTCACAACATCTCAAAGATTGAGCTCTCTCTTAAAAGTTTACATCGTGCAGTTTCATTAGCAGCTTCTCTCGCCAAGGTGATGCGAAACAAGGACTGCTGTAGGCATCCACACTGTCATGGGGGTTTTCTCGCGCTCGTGAAATATGTTGTGAGAATACGTGTCTAGAAATTTGTGAGGAAAAGTTGGTGAAAAAAAACCTTTTTTTAAGACATGACTTTTAAGTGCAAAGCTACGAGCAATCTCGAGCCCGGGTCTTCACGGCTAATGTCTGCGGTCAGTCACACATTGACCTTCGCTGGATGGCAAAAGTGCGGGCTCTGGCTACGAGATTGTGCTACGAGCAACAAAACATTTACAAGACAAACGCTGCACGGACTGTACGCAGCCATAATACCAAGGCAATGCGAATTCAATGATTTCTTATTATGCCCTTTAAAATTTTCTAACCTGTTCGATATCGGGTTGTAAAGAGCTATACAATGGTCGCGTTTCAATGTGTTCTGGCACAAGAGGATGACAGTTGAGTACATGTAGTGCCAGTCTCTCGTCGGCTGGACCCAAATTCTGATTAATAGAGTTTCCTTCTTCTGTAAGAAATATATAAAATATGTCTTTATCAATTTTAATTCGAGCCTGAAGAAACAAAGTTATAAGTTAGTTTGCTACTTAATAGTTGGTATTGCCTTTCATTTGATAGAATGAGGGCGAGGAAAAAAAGAGATTCCGAAATTCAAAGGCATTATTAAGCAAATTACCGATTCCACAGAGCGCGATTTTAAGGCTATGACATGACAAGCGCTATGGGATGACGAAAGTACAAACTGAAGCCATGATTCGCGTAGGACAGTATTGTGAACGTCGTCGCGTGTACGTAGAAAACATGCATTTCATGCATATACTTCAATAAACGCCTTACCAAATTCATCTAAACTGTACAATTTTCCATCGACTAAAAGCCTTGAATTTCCTCTAAACTTGGGAGGTTGGTATCCAGAAACCTGGCAGTATTTCTCGAGGATTTGTTTTGGAGTCTGAGAATCACGCCATTTGTTTACACCAGATCTGGATAAGAATGACAAGACGAATGGAAACTTCGTAAGTTTTTAGACTGTTTAAGTGAGAAGTACTCAAAACGTTTGTTTATACTGAATACAGGGCATCAGAATTTCTCTTTAACCAGCACAAACTGCTCTTACTTGGAAACAATACGTGAAAATGATCTTTTCGAGGAAAACAATGTTATTGCCATATATGGTATGGTATGGCGAAAAGTCACACATAACCTTAACAATGGCTGACAATAGTAGGCCTTTAAAGAATTAGCACGCTTAAGAATGCAACATAACAGTTTGCAATTCCTTGATACGAGAACTTCGGAAAAAGCGATGAGAGAAGAACGAACTGAATAACCCGCGAGAATTTCTCCTTGCATCCCTGATTGCGACATTCTTCAATGACTAAGAGAAACACAGCAAAGCCTATTTGAGTTTAGTTCAGTTACTTACGTGTAATAAGACTGAGGAAGTCCACAGGTTGCTCGAAATCGTGTAAGATATCTATTTTCAAGATCGATTGTCGTTTTACCGATCTCCTCATCTGATCCAATTAAGTCATAGTCGACAATGGATATTTCAAGATCCTTTGCAATAGGAATCAGTGCAGTCATCTCAAACATTCTAAAAAAAATAACAACAATGATCAATCAATCAATCAATCGAGATCGATCAAACAATCAATAAATCAAAAAAATATGAGTCAGTAAATAGTTAACAAATTGCGCACGGTTCTGAGTTGTATGTCCTCTTATTGACACACTCTTGAAGTCATAAAATTCAAAATTCAAGTGGACCCACGAGCGCAGCAAGAGTGTGTCATTAAGAGGGCATATAACGAAAAAACCGTGTATGATTATCAGCCAAGATGAAAATTGAAACCGAAGCAACATATGATGACAGACAGGCAGTTATTCACGGCAAAGGCGATAATCATATGCCATTGGTTACAGAACCAACGTCACATCCGGTTATTTTTCAAGATACATGCATACACGACTTTTAAGAATGGCGGTAGTTAGCATGCTGTTCACAACTGTCAATATTGGGGGACTAGTGACGAATCATAGAAACGAGACATCCAAGGCCTTACTTCTAAAAAACACCACGAAGATCGCATGTATGGCAGTGTCAAAGTTTGAAAGATATATTGGTATGTTATTTATGACAAAACACTTATGCAAAACACTAAGGAAGTTTACTATTGGGATGATGGCATTGGAAACCTCGTATTAGTGCTTCGTTCCCAGTGCCCTGGTCGGTGACCGTCAAATATCGTGCCATTTTTGAAAGATTTGAATGGTAAAGAGTTTAGTTTGACTTACTTTCCAAATGTTGGATTGAGCGTATTTGCGATATAATTGTCCTGATCTTTGATCTTTTTCTTGCCCAGAGAAATGACGACATAAGGATCTGCCTAAAATGATGAATAAAAACGCGAATTATTATCAATTCCAATCAAGTAAACTTGTTCATTAATACCACACGTGCATAAGATGCGTAAAAAAAACTTTTTCTCATCTTACCAAACCATTAGGATCCATTGGTTGTAGATCAATAGCCTGAAAACATAGAATATCTTTATCATCTTTAACATTTTACACAAATTGGCCAATACAATGTCCGTTTCCCATAATGACGTCGCCGAGATGCACCACGGGATTGTCAATAGTACAAACTCGATGAAAACTGAAGCAATTTGGTTGTATTTTGAGTTGCTTCAGGAGCAAAAATCATTCCGTATTTATCAAATATTTTTAAAAGTCTTTGTATGCTCAGCTACAAAAAAGCATCTTCGTCAACGAGGACCGTCAATTCTCCAAAGAAACTTCGTCTTCCATAGCGCGCTGATTGGCTGATTAGAGTGTGTCAATAAGAGGACATGCACACTGTTCTGATAACATCACGTCTCGCCCGCGCGCTCAATTGAAAGAAAGAATGATTTTTGAGCATTTTATGACGTCAAGAGTGTTTCAATGAGGGGACATTCAACTCAAAAGCGTGCGCACTTTGTTAAGTTCCTTTATTTATTCAGGAGAATATACCTTTATGACGTAGACTCGTATGACGCATTCTACGGGCTGGCTTTGTGGTAAACTATGAATCATTTTAGGTGGAGGAGCACTGCCAGGGTCATTGGGAAGAGGATAAACACGAAACGTTCCCTAAACACAAACAATAATAATCTGACTTCATAAGTATGACACCACCATAGACGCCATCTTGAATTACATTGCTTTTGTTCAAAAATATGGGATACTCCGAGGTTCATGATCAAATTTATCAAGACAACTTTGAGAGTATTATTAAGTTTATAATATATGGTTGAATAAAATTGTACTTATAGAGTGGTATTTATCCTTAATAATGGTATTTCAAATTGCAAAATTTTATTCAGCCCTTTTACAAACAAATAATAGCATGTTTTGTAAGTGGAATTTGGGATAAATACCACTACAAAACATGCTATTACCTATACAAATCGTCCACTATAAAACACACTATAATACAAAGTAATCATGAACTGGGCTGTTTCCGGATCCTGTGTGGCATCCCAGGATTCACGTCCCGGATTCCAAAGTTACAATAAGTAAAAAACTACAAGGAAACACGCATGATTCTCTGTGAATCTGAGTTTCGTTAGAGCGGATTTCTGTGCAAAAAACACGGTACTTTCGCGTACCGTGCCGTACCGGTGATGCATTGCTAAATCTCTATTTTTATTTGGAATCCCTAGAAGGCGAGGTTCCGTGCCCGTGCCGTGGCGTGCCCGTGTTGTGATTCTATCCGCTCTATTACGCACTCGTCAGACAGTATTTAATGTTAATTAAATTAATTATAGTTAATTTTTTTGATGGATTCCAGATTCCGGATTATTTTGCAAGGGGCGAAGCATCCCTTCGAAGGGTGTTTTATTTTCATCATAAACCATTTGCTTAGTGTTGCATGTAACTGTCGTCACTTCCAATGCTATAGAGTATGAATTAGAACCTTACCTTAAACTCTCCGACATCGGTCAGATCGTCAACATCTTTAACCTTCCCTCGATACAATGGAAAAGTGACGATGAAGTCTTGAAATCGTTTAAAGTGTTCTACTCGCTCAAGCTCGGTGTTATACATCTGTGAAAAAGACAAAATGCAATGTTTACAAGTGTAGTATATTCCTGCATTGTCTGAGCACCTTTTGGTTGTCAATAGTCAACTACGAGATATCTCATACATGATTTTGAGAAGTTAAGAACTGGTACTAGTTTCGTAACTCGACCGACTATACAATCTCGCACCTAGAGCCCGCACTTTTGCCATCCAGCGGATGTCAATGCGTGAGAGCATACCGCTGACATTAGCCKTGAAGACTCTGGGCTCTAGATTGCCGACTATATTGATTGGATTGCACTTATATTTTCAGGCTGCTTAGAAATCCTACAAGGCAGTAACCTATCATCGACCCAGCAGAGCAATTCACGAAAACGTTTGAGTTAGGGTCGCAGATATCAAGAACATCGCTGGAAAAAATCGCAATGACTGCTGCAAGTCTACAGCAGATATATAAATCAACGTAGACGGGTTTTAAGAATGAATAACCGGAAAAAAAACTAAAAAAAACAAAAATAAAAACTAGCACAGAAAGTACAATAGCGTCGTAAAGAGGGCGGCGTTGAGGAACAGCACGCAATAACCTTATCAAGGACTGTGAGTAGTATATGGGGTTATAATAGCGCCAATAACGGAGCGGTGTTAAAGGACTGGGCCCAATAGACATGTACATGAACATTAGCCAAAGAGGATTTGCAGAGTCTGTTTATCGCCACATGCCACATACAACGAGATCAAGCCGAATAATTAGTTTTCACATGTCAAAATATACGATTATAGTTTTTAATCTAGACATAATACGCGAACAGAATGTCATCTTTAATTCAGTAGAACGTGAAAACTAAATGCGACATCCTACTGCAAATGACATCATGACAAAGTCGAAACCACGGTTAATAAAATAAGAGATATATTTGACACTCTTTGAAGTGTGCACTGTCTTTGATACTCCTACGCTAGACTTGATTTTCAATGCATTGTGGGATCAGTTTCTATAAATCCGCCAAGTTCTGTGCCAAACATATCCTACAATGCATTGCGAATACGATAAATGACGTAAAAGCTTCAGAAATCTAATGCCATAGTCTTCTGAATTTCATACCGATCGATTTAGACCTATATCAATATTTTCGAGTTAACTGAAAGAAGATATATCTGTTCGCGACAACTTGGTCTCTTTTACGTTAGCACGACTCTCATTTTACCGGTATATTTCAATCTTGCACTCATTTTATAATATATATATTATCCATTTGCTATATTTAACGGAAATAGTTCGTCTTAAGTATACTACTGAATTCCCAAAGCCAATCTCATCGGATTAAGCCATATAATCGGATTATGTCTTTGTAAAGCGTGCAATATAACCTTTGGCAAAATGGCCGCACTCAGTAGCATTTTGTTTTAACGTAAGACAAAATGACTCCAGAAATACTAAACAATATGTTCCACTTAGAAGCTACATGTAAAACAGTGATAACTGTCCAATATAAACTCGCTGAGCTTTTTTTATAAACGGGCTATAAGCTATAACCTTAAGCCCAACGAAATCTTTTTAGTTTAAAGATTATCTTTAAAACTCAAAACGCAACACTGAAATGCAGGAACATTTTATTATTCAATTTATTTTACTTTATAGAGAATCAGTTCATAGAGAATCAGCAATTATTGTTCTTGGCGTCATAGCAACTTTAATGATTCAATTTTAATCAGTGTTATGTAAAATGTTGTTTTTGCTCATTTAGTAATGTTAATTTCTGATAAGTTACTGCGCCGGTAATTTTTCAATAATTAATTAAAATGCTAATTGCTAAACGATTCACTAGGTAAACAAGTTGCTGTTGAAACCTGAACGGATTTATGCATTTGCTTGCAAACGGGTATTGAAATAAAATAACCTTTGCGACAATGGAAGAGTACCACCCTTTCTTGTTTTATTTTTCTCTCTTTTCTTTTATTGTTAATTCTTTGAACTAATATACTTTTTTATCATCATCACTTCTCTCTTTTTTTCATTTTGAGAGGGTAGCACGTAATTACAGTCTCTAGACTAATAAACTTGTGGCCCCCTATATATTCACTCACACTCACTACCTCAACATTCATTATTTTACCACACGACACTCCTCACAGCTAGTTTTTAGCTTCTTTCTTTTGTTTATTATTGTAATCCTACATAATATCAAAGATCACAACTCGCTATTCTTATTAGTAATAACCATTTATTCTCTCTGTGAAGTATATTTATTTTCAGTTCTTTTTGTACATTTTTCGAGCAATCATAATTCACTATTTTCCCTCTAAACAGCAAGACACCTGTCATATTTTGACCGGAAAATCTCGTCTTTCACGCTCTAAAGAAATAAAATATTCAAAATTCTCATTTTAAATTCTATCCTGACTTTATTTACCTTACACTAAAATGAAGAGCTTGTTTACACAAACATGCGAATGACACAGATTTCCTTCATGTAAACTCAGTTTTATTACATTAGGAAAAACACATTGAATAGTGTCCTTAATACACCATTTTGTACAATTTGGCACAAAGTTAATTAAATTCGTTAATTACATTGTCAGCATGAAAGGCATTAAAAAAGCCTTTTCTGTTGTTCTACATCCTAAATGTCCTGTTGATCCCAGTATTCTTTTGCAAATAAATACACGATATTGAGCTGTAAGTGCCCTATTGGCTTCGTCTATACAGTTATAAACGACGAAACTTCAAATGGCTTTTTCTTTGACGACATGTGTTCTACATCCTAAATGTCCTGTTGATCCCAGTATGATTTTGCAAATAAATACACGATATTGAGCTGTAAGTGGCCTATTGGCTTCATCTATACAGTTATATACGACGAAACTTCAAATGGCTTTTTCTTTGACGACATGTGTCTTTTCCACGCAAAAGTCAAATGATAATTGACACAAAAAACGCTATTGCCATATTATTTTCTTCAAGGCTTCTATTTAACTACCAAGAATGTCTAAAGGACAAAACTATATAGATAGTCCTTGTCGAATACATTTTACAAAGCCCGCTCCACGGATGAATAAAGATAGAAAGGCTTTTATGCCGTCCCCGTGAATGTCCCAGATTCATTAATCGGGTGTACAATAGTGCCAAAGCGAAGAGACATCACAATCCGTTTGGCTGCATGTCTTATTTCTCTCATTCGCCAGCAATAGATTATAGGGTTAGCAAAAGAGTTAACAATCACAACAGTTTCTGTAATATCAACGGCCAGGTACAACCTTGTGTGGTTGTTTCCATCGATTGGGGTATCGCTCGCGTAGAAGGACAGCTGGGTAAAAAGAATCGTAAACTGCACACAAATGTATGGAATATAACATAATATAAACAAACAATAAACCAGAAACATGCTAGAAACTGATTTACGATATCGAGACATGTTAAGACAGTGAGCCTCGCCGTTGGCTCTGTTCGGTGCAGATATTTTCGTTTGGGTTTGGATCTGAGAGTTGTGTCGTCGAAGTACACGGTAAATACTCATGTATGTAAACGAAGTCCCAAGAAGGAACACAGGAATAACGACGCAGACGCTAATACGATAAGCCGTCATGCTCCATAGCTGTATCGTCGACATCGCCCCAAAGATGAACCAAAAACTTACTAGAATGTACACGACTCGCCGGGTTGTTACTATGGCTACATAACGCAGATGCCAGTGAAGGGCCAAGTACTTGTCAATAGTAAAAGCTGCTACTGTCAAAAAAGAAACTCCACAAAACATCACGCCAAAAAACGTGTAAGCAACTTGGACCTCGCACCAGCTTTTATTTTGAAGCTTGAGCAAATTTCTTGCGATGTTCAGAGGAGGAACAATTAGCCCAACCCCAAGGTCCGAGCATGCTAGTCCAATGAGCAGGAGGTTTGAAACAGTTTGTAATGAAGGGGTTATCCATATTCCAAGGATAATGACCAGATTACCAAACATCGTAGGTAGAGCGATAAGAGCGTTTATCACAACCATGGACATGTAAAGAGATCGGTAATCTACGATGAAGTCAGTTGATATGCCAAGGAATAGACATTGTTCGTAGTAAGCCTTCGAAGAATTAGACATCTTGGCTGTAAGTCTTTGACACCTTTTTACAACGCTCAAATTGACTTCCTTTGTAGTTGGTGCTTAGATTCAGTTTAAGTTATATACAGTATTTTTTTCCTCTGACTCTATCCTTTTCTGATATCAATTCTGACAGTAGAAACAAACTCTACGTCATGTACTCAATTCAATGGATTGTACCAGTTCTTGTACAAGTTCCAAAAATGCCTGGAAATGTTTCATCAACTTGTTGAGATCTCGCGAATTCGTTCACGAAGATTGATTAGTATGGGTGATCAGTGTAATCCCTTGCATGTCTCACGGCAGAATGAATGACTAAAATGGGTAAACATATTTTAAGGCGCAGAGTCGCGATACTTAATTACGCAACAAGGATAGGCGCAGGTGCGCTGGACAAACAAAACGTGCCTGCCAAAGCGAGGCCAAACGAAGTGTTATGAAAATATAACTCTGACTACAATTGAAGTTACACAAAAAGTGAAAATACCAAGAAAAACATTAGCTAACGTAAAAAACACGAGTGTAAAACGTAACATCTTTACGGAACGACAACAAGATCTTGACAAACTTGAGAAGCCCTTGATATTTGATATATTTATAAAAAAAGAGACGGAATCAGTTACGCGATTTTAAGAGTTTTATCAAGGAGTACTTTTCTTGTACAGTTGATATATAATGGTTAATAAAATCCAAAATTAGCGAAGAAGAATGATAAGCCATTAGTAGCTGTACAAACATGGCTTAATTAAATCTTTTTTTAATTTAGAAATGAAAATTAAAGTTTTTAGCATTTTGTTTTCGGAAAAGCAGTTCCGCTTCCAGGTACGATTTGGACAGAGTTTGGAAATGTTTTGGTTTAAGAAGTACATGGGTGCCATGCAAGAAACTCCAAACAATATGATAACATCAAAACTCAGATAAATGTGTTTTCTAAAATTACATCTCTTAATAATTCATATTGTGTCATGTAGAATGAATGAGATAAAATTAGGATATTTGTGAGAAAAATAAACTAATAGCAATTAATCCAATTACACTTTTTTCTTTAGTGAAAAAAAGTTAAATTTCCACACCGCCTATTGGATACATTTATAGTTTAAGACATCAAAAAATTTCGGTGCTTTAAAAATAAGACCGTTGATGATAAAAAAAGTGATAGTTCAAACACGTGTGGGGTTTATTTAGACGATCACAAATTGAGTCACCTAAAGCGGGGTTATTAAGAAGAAAAATAAATTTTTCATAAGCTGTTTTTCGTTATAAAAATTTAAAAAATATTGACCTTATATGTGAAACGGGCCTCTTATATCTAAAAGTCTTTGTTGACAATTGTTCGCTAAATGCTAACACATATAATAGGTTTTCGTATTATTGTGTGTAATAACAGTTGCCGATGTTCAAGTGTCTTTACATAATGACTTGTTTTTATTGGTAAAGTGTGTAATTGCATTTGATGTGCATTAGATTTGGTGATGATTTTGACAGCTTTTCGAATTGCCTTTTTTTGTTTGAACTGTTCCCCCTTATTCAGTTCATTGTTGTTGTTATTTTTTTCTGGTTTCTATTTTGCTATTTATCTATCTATACAGATATTACACGGTGGAGCGAAGATATGAATTTTATTTTCGAGTGGTGAATATAAACAATATGTTGTCTTTAACACGAGAAAATAAAAATTCATATATTCAAGGGAAGCGATCACATACTTCAAAGAAGGTCATTTTTACCGACGACAAACTATTCTTGGAGTTTTTGTTTGCATTAGCATCATATAAGCATGTTAATAGCAATGTTACTAACACGACGCCTCATAACCATCGCAGTCTTCTTTGAGCTGTTGGTCAGAAGAGAAAAACGTAAAGAAACTATATGTTGGGTGCCTTTTTACTTTGATAGGTTCAAGCAGTTTAGGGGTTTAACATAGTTTTGTGACAAGGACACTAGTTGTACAGAGAAACAACAACAACAGCAACGACAACAACAGCAACAACAGCAACAACAACAACAACAGCAACAAAAACAACAACAACAGCAACAACAGCAACGGCAACAACAACAGCAACAACAGCAACGGCAACAACAACAGCAGCAGCAACAACAACAACAACAACAGCAAAAACAAGAGCAACAACAACAACAACAGCAACAATAATAACAACAACAACAGCAACAACAACAGCACCATCCACAACAACAGCAACGGCAACAATAACAACAGCATCAACAACAGAAAGAACATCTGTGAAATGATGGTACTAATCCCTGTTTGCAGCAAATGCCACTGAACTTTTACGAGCCCTTTGAAATATCATAGAACTACTTCGTCACCTCTATATTTGTATACAGTGCACTAGAGCGGATTTCGTATGAGTGGGACACCGTTACCGCACGGTTACCGCACAGTTACCGCACCTGGCCTGCACAATTTTGGTGAACCAATGGGGCACTAGAATTTGGTTACAGTACGATTACGGTCACAGTACAGTACCGTCCGTTTCCCACTCATACGAAATCCGCTCTAACGTTGCCCATTACAGTTCTAAATTGGGTCAGTAATTAAGGTTTTCTCTTTAGTAAGAAACGGTTCGTATCCTTGGAGCAAAACAACATCGGATATTACAAAGGTTTTCATTGTATCAAGTTAAACTTGTTGACTTCCACTTCAGCAAGGAATGAGGCTCTAGATAATTGACGGAAACATTATCAAGGTTACTTTTAGCCAAAACAAACAAAATCAAAAAAAAGTTTCACAGTATGAGAAAAAGCCAAAAATAGCCAGTGAAAATCGGATATGTATCAGTTACAGTTTGTTTTTTTTTCACAGGCATTTCGTAATGACTACTAATAAAAATGACTACTTTCTGCTGCAGGCTTGTTTTAATAAGAAATGAACTGTAAACTTGACGTAAGCTGTCTAAAATCATAATTATTTTCATAATATACAGAACTTCAAATAAAAAAAGAAAGAACGAAAGAAAAGGAGAAAGAAAGAAAGAAAGAAAGAAAACTCAGCATTCCTACAGCTAAGCAATAAACTTATAAAGAAACAAAGGATTCAAGAACCACTATAGATGATAGAGGAACATTATAAATTCTTTTTGTAAGAGTAATATAATTATTTTTGCTCTCTGCATTACGTTTTTATCTGCATTTTCGAATCTGGTACTGTTATAGAAATTGAAAACTCCTTGCGAAGAAGCTAAACACGTCTGATATAATCTTAATGAGAGCAACTCACCGAATCGAGTTTTTGAGTTTCTGCTGTATACATGGATAATTATTGAAAACAGTTGGTAACGAAAACAGCGAGAGATGGTGATGAAGGTGAAGATCATAAATTGCTACAAACAATAATTATCGGCGCTAATCACACATCCATTAATGAAATGTGTATGGTATCCACAAAGCCATGGGCTCTCAAGGGCTCTCACAAATCCGGCATTCGTATTCGCTACTGAACTATGGTATATTCATGATAGGCCATGGTAGCATCGAATTAAGCGCAAAAAAATGTCGAGAAAATATGTTTTTTTATCGTATTGTCAAATAGCCGACTTTATATATTTTGGTTCAGTGACCATGCACAAAGGAATTGCAGACGAGGCTCCGAGGAAATAAAAGAATAAATCAAGATTATCCATTGTTTTCCCGGAGCCTCGTGTGCGTTCCTTTTGTACATAGTCATCGAACCAAAATATCTAAAGTTGACTATTTGACCTGCAGTTTCGTAGATAGCAATAACCGAATCAGACCACTAAAGTTGATGGTCAATTCGACCGAGTATATATGAACCAATCCATATTAATCCATATTACAGCAATATGCAGAGATCATGATCTTTTTGACTCATATTTCAAGTATATATAAAATATATCAGAAATTATATGATATCAGTGCTAGTGCTAGGTAGTTTCAAAAACAAAATATCAGCGATGACATCCCACAATTTATATGTTACATATACTTAGAATATGAATCGAAATGATCATAATTTCTGAATATTGCTGTATATTATGTACTTTTAATGTGTTGAACTGACAAGAGAGCGAGACGACTGCTACTTATATCTACGAGGTGACCACCATATCTAGTGGGATGTTGTCACTTTCATGATAATGATAATTTTGTTGACAATTTTTGAATACAGAAATGATTTACAACACATTTTCTCATAATCTATGCAAACAAAAAAGCAATTTCAACAGCCTGACAGGAAAAAGATCGTAAAATTTCCGAACATACAAACAAACAAAAAAACCCTGTTAAAGACATCAAGCTCCTTTTTCTCTCTCAAAAGTTTGAACTTTTATGTTTGCATTTAAAGTTTTACGGCAAAAAACGTCTCCATTCATAAATGCCTTCTATATAAAAACGAGTGGACTCTTTCCTAGGGTTGAAGTTTTCATCTAGGGTTGAAAAATTATTCCAATCTAATGACATCCTCGGAAGAATCATTCAAAATACAAAATTCAAACATATAAGCATATTTTTTAGTTCAAATTATTTTACTGGTTTATATATAAGACTGCATGTTCCAGTTTTTGAAGGTTTATGATAAACTCTAGTATTTCCAAATTGCTTAAATTCTCTCTGCTTGATGATGGTCAACTATTTTGCTTCTTTTACCAGTTCGGATTTTTAAGGGTTTTCACTAAGAAGGCAAAGGATACTGATTATTATAGGAACTAAGAAGGGCGTTATTACACACACATCATCTAAGACTGCCAATTTATATTTGAGAAATAGTAAGTACTCGTGAAGAAATACAACTAAGCGATACTAATCGAGACCAATCGATCATCGCGTTAATACCAATCGATTTCAATCGATAAATATACAGGAACGATCACAATCTTGTACGATGCTTTTATTGCTTTTATTCTTCGTTTTCAATTTACGTCACAGCGGGCATCTTGGATTAATTTCAACAAAGGATTTCTCATTAGTATGTATTGTTCGTTCCTCCAACATGGCCGCCGGTCTTTTATCTTTTGAATCCCATGGGAATGGTGATTTCCTAACGAGGTCAGACTAAGCTAATTCATCTTATTTTTCAAACAATTTCAAATATAATTAAGTTTATGATGCTTAACATGACGGATGGAGAAACGATTCCCGGCGAGGTCCGGAACAATCTACATGGGTAAAATACATTTTCATTAAAGGACGTTTGCCATTAATCGTAAACAAAATCGAGCTAAAGCCTTCACGCGGAGGATTTTAGCAAACACAAAAAGACCTATAAACAACAATGTCTCCTTTTCTAAGTTTACGAGGCCCTTTTAAGTGGAAATGAAAGGATTTTTTTGTTCAAAAAATTGAACCAATATGAAGTTTGGCTGACTAAGTATCTCTAGATGAAGGCTTCAAATTTAGAAAAAGAAAAACATATAAATAGAGGATATTACATGGGCGCGCGGAGATACGCATTTTATCTTCGTGTGTTGAAAAGATCTCTCACGAGTGAACTTAGCGAATATATTTATATATGAACAAATTAAATGTGAAAACAAATTATGACGTAAAATAGCTGTTTTCTTACTTCCACTATATAGAGAAACCTCAAATGTGTTATTTTCACTAGTGAAAATACCATAATATTTTTTAACAGTGAAAATATCAATTTTATATTTTGTTAGTGTATAGAACTTTCATAAAGATTAAAACGAGGCTTCAAAAAGGGGGTAAATTAAAAGATTATAATAAATACGATACCATTACATGGCTGAACTGAAATAATAGACATATAAGCCGTTCTGACGTTCCACCTCGAGTTATTTAAAAACGAAACGTTTGACAGAGCTTAAGACCAAAAAATGATGACTGGAGTGTCCTTTCAATATAGTGTCCTCTATTTCGAATGGAGAAAAATTTTCATTATTATTTTAAAAGCTCACTTTTGTAAAACGGGAAACCGCTAAATACTGTCAAACACTTTTGCGATCAAAATACTGTTTTTTTTTCTTTTTGGTCACCTTTTTTGATGATCTTGGACATCTTTGCATGCGCCATCAAACATGTTGGGTATTAAAAATGCATTTGGTCACCTATTAATTTGATTAGCCTAGTAGTTTAAATTGGAATTATTTTAAAAAGGTGGACGTTCTTGGCAAAGCTCTATTTCATTCCTTTTTATTACAATTTATTTAGTCATCTCGATTCAAAAGTTTGACGATTCAAGCCATTCGCGTCCTTTTGGCATTTTCGAATGTCCATTAAATTTAGTACTTGAGTGTAACGGGATATATTACCTTAATTGAAAACGTTTATAGTAATGGTCAATTTCCTATCTTAGTAGTTGTACAGGATGTTTTATCGATGCCCATGATCGAAGAAACGTTATGGTAGACATGTGTAAAAATGCCAATTCATGCAGCTTGGTATTAGAAATAGAGGATTTTTCTACATTCATTCTAAATGCACAATATGTTCTTCAGGGTTTTAAGTACCTTGAAGGATCAACTATTAAAAAAATAACAAATAATGATAAATATAGTATAGAGAGTACTAAGTAATCTCAGTGACTATAATAGCGTATCTCAATATTTCTGGTATTAGACCCTACCCATTACAAGAGTTTACAAAATAACAATTCTAATCTAAGTTGCTTTCCACGGAAGGTTTCTACTGAAGGGAGATACTATAGTCTATCTTGAAACAGTGAAAACCGTTTTAGAGGCGATACAACAATCAACAATACATGTATAATAGCTGTATAATAGAAACTGAAACTCAAACTGAACTGAAACTGTTTTATTGCTCTTTTTGCTTTTAACTTGAGAGAAAAAAGGTGCTTGTAATAAAAAGATAAATAAGTATAGAAAATATGCAAATTTTTGTAAAAGAACGAGAGCCAGAGGGCTAAATTAACTAATAAGTTTTCTAGTTAGCCCCCTATTATTTAGTGTTACATTGGTAGTTACAGGCAAGGAGAAAAGCAATAAAACATAAGGAAAAAAGAAGATCAGGCTTTCGTAACCAAACATAAACAATGGTGAATATGATCTTTCTTTGATTTCCTTTCTGGGGATGGCCGCTGATTCAATTGATAGCAAGCGCTCGGAACTAAACTAAAACAATTATATTGTATATGAATCACATGTTCGTAGTGTTTAAAGAATTAGCGTCCCTGGGTGTAAGCTTGGAATATATAGTTTACTGGTTTGCAAAAAAGAAAAAGAAAAATCCTTTTACATTTTGGGAACACTCATGATAACATTATGAAACGCACTTTAAATTCGATACACTATTCTCGCAGCACTAACCTCCGATTTCGGGACAGGAAGGCGGACAAAAAGAGAGTGTGCGAAGGAGACTGGTTTGAGCCGGCCTTAATATATCTAATCGCGATTTAAGTGTATATGAAAATCGCTTCTGTTCTTAATTTTCTTTATCAAAAAAGCAAGAAGTCCCAGCTGTAAAGAAAACAAAATATATATTTTGGAGGGATTTTTCAGTGTGTTTTTTTTTGTATTAAAATACAATCATAATTTTGGTATTAAGTAATACATTTTTGATGGTAAAATCTATTGGGATCAAAGAGGAGCTAGTTCTTTGCAAGAGTCGTTTTGTGATGGGTCTGGAACTTCATAACTTGACATCCAAGATCAATAGCGTCGCAAAATTGCGAAGTTGAACAAAATAATGTCAGTCAGATTCAGTCAAAACTACTTAGAAAAATCTTTAAGGATTATGTATCTCGAGGGGTAAATTTTACACACTGTACACGACTTTGAGTGGTATGTTAGTTTATTGACACTACCTCAGCGCTATAATATGCTCAACAAGACCCACGGAGTGTGGCGAGTGGGTTTTGAACATATTATGTCGTTAAGACTGTATTAATAATAGGACAACGAAAAAACCGTGTACAATGGTCTATTTGTTTTAAACAAATTTGTATCTCAAAAAATCATTTTTTTATTTAACTGAGCTCGCGCGAGAGACGTGAAAGTGTCAACACGAGTCTGTTCTCTTATTGAGAAACTCTAATCAGCCAATCAGCGCGCGAGAATTTTCACAAGTGTAGTGAAAAAGGATGTACAATCGAAGACTTATCTTCAAATATATGTAAACATCTGCACAATTGATTAAGCTCATCAATTTAAAGATTCACTAAAACTTGTTTACTTGCAAGAGATTCACACACTCCATGACCACGAAGAAACCATGAAACCGAGGCGTCAAGGTACAGTAACGGTAATAAGAAAGAAAGATCCGTACTACTCGTACTCAGTGTATCTTAAAGCTTTAAATCGAAAATACACAATGAATGCTGCTTTCTGCGTTACATTATACAAGCTATACGCAGGCACAGTAAAGCATGAGTGCTGTAGTGCAAGCAAAGCCACAACCACAACACAACTTGGGGGTCATTTTGGTGGACATTACAAATGTGAGAGGGACTACAACTTCTAAAATACTTTGTGCACAAAATAGGCATTGTTGAATGAAATCCCCATAATTCCTTTCGGGTTCGTATCAATCATTTCCGGACGATCAACGTTAATCAAAGTAGTGGCATATTTTTACCCCATCGGAGTAGTTCTCTTAATTAGGATTGTCTGTAGGCGGCGTTAGTTTGTAGTTTTTGTTTATTTTTAAGTAACCTCCTCGATCGAAACAGCCGCGTTGTTAAAACATTGAAGATGAAAAACTCTTCTCTTAATATTGTACGCCAATTGTTTTAACTGAACTTTTAAGCTCGTCATTGAAAATACGACTAAAATGACAGATGGCCTTTTACGTGTAAAAAAACCTTCCTTATTAAGCATTTTATGTTTAAGGAAGAAATTAAGGAAATTTGAACTAGCTTTTTCAAAACATGATAGTTTGTTTAGGCAGGACGCAGCGCTGTCAGCGAGAAGTGTCTGAAGTCACTTGAAAGAATGCAAATTTTGAGAATGAAATATTACTAAAACACACATCTAGTTCATCTATATTTATATGGGAAAGCGATCTCAGTGTCTTTGCAATGGAAAAGCTAAACAATGTAGCAATGATCTTTCGCTTTTAATTAAAATCACGGAAAATCTTTATTTGAAACTGCGTTTATTTTGACTTGCTTTACGATATTATTTGGGATATTTACATTGTGGAAATCAAACACATATGTGTGTTCGCTTGCTGTATTTCACTATACTGTACATACACACTTGTCTTGTTAGGCATACTGCTTAAATGATTCCAAAAAATACATACTATAAATGATATTAACCAGAGAAACGAAGGCGCTTGTCAGGGTCAAAAACCCAAAATTCAGTTTAAAAGAGCCAAAACAATTTACTGAGAAAAAGTAATCGAGCGATCCATATGAACCTGATCATTATTACATCGCAAAATCGAAAATGCTACCTTAGCGGCGTGACGAATTTCTCTCATACGCCAACAATATATTAATGGGTTTAGCAATGAATTTATGATAACGATAGTTTCCGTAAAATCCACCGCTACGTACAAGCTTTTCAAGTCGCTGGCAGGTTTAGAGCCGTTCGTATCAAACTCAATACTTGCGATGAGAATAGTAACCTGGACGCATATGTACGGAATATAACACAGCAAAAACAGGCAATACACTAGAAACATACTAGTGACAGATTTACGATATCGCGCCATGTTCAATGTGCTACTGGCGTCGTTCGGGCGTTCACATCTGTCTCTATGCAGCGTCGATACCTGGGATTGACTTTGAATCTGTACTTTGTGTCTAAGTAGAACTCTATAGATTCTGTAGTAGGTGAAGGAGGTCCCCACAAGAAAAAAAGGCACAACAATACAAACACTAACTCTATATACAGTCATGCTCCATATTTGAACGGCTGACATGGCGCCAAATATAACCCAAAAGGACAACACTATGTACACGACCCTCTTAGTTGTCACTATGGTGGTATACCGTAAATGCCAATGTAATGCTAGATATTTATCGATACCGAATGCAGCGACTGTCAAGAAAGAGACCCCGCAAAACATCACCCCAAAGAAAGTATATGCAACTTGAACATGACACCAAGAGTTCAGTGGACTTCCTTGAAGTTTGGGTAGAATCCTTGCGATGTTTAACGGAGGGACTAGAAGTCCAACGCCAAGATCGGAAGAAGCCAGCCCTACTAGGAGTATATTAGAAGGAGTGTGAAGGACGGGTAACGACCAAATGCCCAAAATTATAAGAATATTTCCAAAGATAGTCGGCAGACAAGCGAGACAGTTGATTACGATAATTGTTATGTATGTTTGGCTGTAATCTAAGGTGAAATCAGCCGGGCTGTCATCGATGAAGAAGCATTGGTCGTAGCGGTATCCTGTCTTAGAACTCAAAGTGCTGTTGTTGCTTGTCATCTTGGAAGAAATGTTTATGAGAGCATCGTCCCAGCTGAGATTAAGCTGTTGTTATAACTTACTACCTTTGTAATCTTTCGAAATGAGCACAGCGCTGAGCTCTGTGGACTAGCTAACGTCCTATTTCTACTTTTCAGCTGTCCTTTGAAGTCAACGATGACCCAAAAGAAAGCTCAATTCCTATTGGTCAGCCTTTTGGAACTGAAACACGCCGGATACGCTAGCAACGCAGAGCGTATGCGCAGTTCTCACATCACTTTAATGGGCTCGCTCTATCAAAGATATTACTGGTCAGATACTCGTTAAGTTATAAGTATTATCCAATTGGTGTACCGACGAAGGAAATAGTAATTGCAGGGTCTAATGAGATGACGCTGTCAATGGATTAGTAAATTGGAGATTAATTTATGGCTTCGTGCAAGCTTTTCTCTGAGTCTTCACGTTTCATGGTTCAAAAAAAAAAAAAAAAAAAAAAAGAAAGAAAGAAAGAACAAGAACAAGAAAAATAGCGGATTTATCCCCCTCTGGTGAATTTTGTCATTGTGTTTGTCCAACGCAATTTTCCTTTCATCTATTTCTTTCAATATTATAGTATAATTTTAGGCCTTGGTAATAAACTTAGAGATTAAAGTAAATAAATGGATTCACTAATTTCTTAGTAAATTTCGAATTTAGGTATGAAATTATTCAAGGTTTAACTGATCTAATGAGAGTTCATCTGCCGCACTGTGTGTGTAGTTCGCTCATTCTCTTGCCGTGAGCTTTGTTTAGTGTTTAGGCACCATTGCAAACGGTAACCAAGTACATGGATTAATCGTTGTCAACCTAGTACATTGTCATTACAATCCTAAATTCAAGAAAATGCTGGGAAATTTGTCATAAAAATTACAACATTCAACAACTGGAGAATGCTAAAAAGTGCGCAAATTGGGGGATTTTCTAAATTTGTAAAAAAAAAATGTTTACCAAAGATATTAACAAAATTAGTCGTCATCATTCCCCCTAACCGACGTAAAGAAACGACAGAAGAAAACACTGCATTTCTTTGGGGGAGCTATATTTACATTGAAGTTAAAGCTAATAAGTGGGTTTTAAATAGTGTTAATTCTATTTCAAACCATTCTGAAAACGCTCTACGAGTAAAACAGTTATAAATGTAGCGTAAAACTGAAAAGATTCCAATTGCTAAAAAACAAAACTTTGACTGTCATCCGCTTGTTCGAAAACACTGGGTACGTAGACGTATGAAAAGTAGGACATATTAACAGGCCTTAGAAAACAAAGTGCTTTCCTAATGCTAAATTACATGTACCTATAGAAACTATATAGCTATATCTATTACTTAGCTTAATGGCTGTCGAGATGACGCTTTGCATTACGGTAATCGACATAAATCATTCCATAATAAAACAAATATGAAAGAGCCCGCAATTTTTTATGTTTCAAGATCTAACTGTAGAATGACGAGTGCAAATTTCTAAGGCTTCATTTTTTAACAACATTTTAACGTCTGTATTTTTGGACATTTAGAATGTACTTTAATTTCATGAAGAAACACAATTTATATAGGGCATAGAAAGGCTTTTTATACGGTCATGGTCAACCAGCATTCAATGCAGTCGTGTTTTAGAATTTTCGTACATGTGGCGATTTCAAGGTCGTATCTTACAATAATATATCCATTTATTGAGTACAAAGGGATAATAAAATTACGATGTATTTTTATTTCTAAAAATAAACAAAACCTCGGAAGGGATGCTGGTGGGCCAAGGACCTTTTCATGGCGAATCTCGGAAGTTGCCGACTTCTGATGTTATGCAAATTAGATGGAATGTATTGTGCACTTGATGGAAACAGTCAGTCAAAAAAAAATTACAATTGAAATTACAATTATGTATGTGTTCTGCCACTACAACAACAAGAAACGATGTTTTCGTTTAAAACATTTTCTTTAGTCTTATAATAACACTTCTTAGTGTGTGTTTTTTTCTTCTAATTCAGTGGGAAAAAGTTATGTCAATAATACATATATTTCCTTTACATACAGCCTTTTGCACAAATTATGAGACATTTATATATATATATAAATATACAGCCTTTTGCAAAAATTATGAGAATTGTTGAAATATCTAAATATCATAATATCAAGTGCATGATCCCGCGCGATGCCCTTATTCCCTTGTCTTTGTAGTTTAGTTTTTTTTTGGCGACGGACTTATCCGTAGTTCTGAACATTTTCTCGATGTCAACAATGAATTATTCTAGCAAACCCGCGTGTTCCGGACAATATGTGGATATGGATATTATGATATTTAGATATTTAGATATTTAGACAATTCTCATAATTTTTGCAAAAGGCTGTACCTAAGCAAATATCAAAAACACCCCAGAAATTATGGTATATCTCTATCATATTTTGTCATGATTGCCTAGCATCAGGTTTTTACAGACAAAATATCAGCGACAGTATCCCATAATTTCTTGGGTGTTTTTGATATTTGCTTAGGTATATTTATATATATAAAAATGTCTCATAATTTGTGCAAAAGGCTGTATCTGTTTTTTTAACGATCAATATGGATATAAATATTCTGGAGTAGACGTCTTTGTCTGTCAAAAAAAATAATCATTCATTGAAAAATGACAATAAAAGAGGCATAACATTGGTAATAAAGATTGTCAAACAAAGTGAGAAGGACATTAGGCAATAAATCAATAATGGATGAATTTTCGTAAAAAAACCCAAACCAAAGCATTGTTAATAGAGGGGAATGGTTTTGAAACCTTTTTTGTACTTTTTTGTACATCTTTTGTATGTATTTTGAGGTAGAATCAGTCAAGACCGTGCACAACGTTTTTCTTACGGACGATGGAAATTGCAAAATGACTGAACATAAACACTCTCGATGAGATTATGAAATGAAATATTCCATCCAATAATGGTTAAATATTTTTAGGCATTTTGAAGAAATAGTCAAAAGAATAAATTTCGCTCTGTTCATTCAGATGTGACCAGTACGGCTAAAACAATAGTTACACAAAAGATTGTGCACGTTCACGCTTGGAAAAAAAGTGCACAAAAACCTACAACAAAAGGTTTCCTAACCATTTCCCTCTACAAACTATGGGCAAAGTCACTTAAAAAAAGGGCATTGAACATTGGACTTAATTTTACAACCAAAATCATTGTATTCATACTTCTATCTGTAAATACTAGATTGCATGATAAACAGCTATGACAGATAATGGTTCCAGTAAAAAAAAAATATAACTAAGTTATCAAAACTGACAATTAATTAAATGACAGGCAACGAAGGAACAATCTATTTTCAATTTGAAATGAGCCCAGTTATTTTCGTTCACTTTCTAATTAAGAAATATATGACATTTTGGCATTAACATGAAACCAATATCAAGTTATATTCATCATATTCAGCTAGGAGTTCCGAATTATATTATGTAAGCTTTTAATCAGAGGATTAGTCTTAGTTTACATTATAAACTTTGTACGAATAGGAATCTAATATTTATTCAGATCATTCGATGGAAAGCATATTATTGTCGTAATTTATGACTTTGAGAATAAACAGTTATTTTTTCCTATAAATCAGAACTCTAATTAGTAATTCACGTTAGCAATGAAGGAAACCAACAATGCTATAAATTGCTTTAGTTTTATAAACAGGATAGCTTACATAATTCAGTATATTCACAAAGTTGAGCAATGATCCACTATGTTCTCGCCTAAATTCTGTCTATTTCCCATTTTGTTGTTGTTTTTGTTTTTGTTCTGTTTTTTTTTTCTTTTCATTCATATATTTAACTTAAATCCACAAACTTGATATAAAAATCTAAACATAGTATGTTTGTTTCGTTGATTTTCTAAACCAAAAAAACTTCTATTATATATTATAAAACTTATTAATAATGCATGAGCTATTACTCCAATAAGGGTTGTCCATTTCATCAGGTGATTGACCTTGTAAATCAGATACAACACTGTGATACAACACTAGTGTTGTATAAGATTTACAACACGGTCGTCACCTTGAGACAACCCAACACTAGCAAAGGTCTCAGTTTTAGTGTCGCATCATAGACCTTCACTAGGTTTTGAAGCAATCAAAGACGGATAACAGAACTGGCTTATGCAACAGATGGCTTGCTTTCCATGTGGGATGGATAATTATTCAAAATGTTCTGTGTTGCAGTAAATTGCGCATGCTTAATAGCGACTCAACTCAGCAGTTTCCTTAATTGCCATTTTTTGTCATTTATCTCACTGTAATTCATGTTAATTTGTGTTGGAGTTTTATAAGTCGTTTACAACATTCGCGTCCGTGTTGTATGGGAATTACAATCTCTCGCCTGCGGCTCGAGATTGTAATTTCCCATACAACACGGCCGCTCATGTTGTAAACATTACTTACAACATTCGCGTCCGTGTTGTATGGGAATTACAATCTCTCGCCTGCGGCTCGAGATTGTAATTCCCATACAACACGGACGCGAATGTTGTAAACGACTTATAAAACTCCAACACAAATTAACATGAATTACAGTGAGATAAATGACGAAAAATGACAAATAAGGTAACTGCTGAGTTTAGTCCCTATTAAGCATGCGCAATTTACTGCAACACAGAACATTTTGAATAATTATCCATCCCACATGGAAAGCAAGCCATATGTTGCATAAGCGAGTTCTGTTATCCGTCTTTGATTGCTTCAAAACCTAGTGAAGGTCTATAATGCGACACTAAAACTGAGACCTTTGCTAGTGTTGGGTTGTCTCAATGGTGACGACCGTGTTGTAAATCTGATACAACCACTAGTGGTTGTATCAGATTTACAAGGTCAATCACCTGATTAAATGGTCAGCCCTTATTGGAGCAATAGCTTATGCATTATTAATAAGTTTTATAAATATACTATACTAAAAATTTAAACTATACATAGTATCCGTGAAATTGATATCACACTAATATATCTTAGTACACTTTAATTACATTGTTTTCTTTTGTGTCTATTTGACTATCTTTAATAGTCAAATTTTGTTTCACGGGTTTAGTGACTTCACTCTATAACCGTAAAATACTGATTACTAAGCTGTGCTATTTAGTACTAGAGTGATCGCACTTAAACCGTGC